ACGAAAAGTTGAAGTGTCAAGTAACAATAGAAGAGGGGTTGAATAATGTTTTTGTAAATCCTTTTTTAAGCTAATGTTTGACCATGGTTGATGGATGATCCTCATGATCAACTTGGTTCTTACGTTATAAACATTGTTTTGATCAATGCGTTTATGGTTACGATATTTAGCTTATCTCCGCAGCGTTTAAGAGAAGCGACTCTTAGATAAAGAAGTTTCTGTTAATAGTCGTGCATGTTAAGGATTTACTTTTCAGATAGGCTTAAATGCTTACTTCGTCCCCAAGTTAAGAGGTGAATTTCTGTTTAGTACCCGGTTTTAAAATGAAGATATTCGGTGCCCATATTACGAAAATTGTATGACTTGAGTCATATCCGTTTAACGGCGTTAAAATTAAAACGTTGAACTGAGTGTGGATGTGAGGTGTGCAAGAAATGTTGTCGTGGCAATAAGTTGGGCTACGTTAGTTGATGTGGTAGGCAAAAGAATACATTACGTGTTATGAAATTGGGGAAAATAAATAATTAAAGTTTTTAATCTTCGAAATTAAAACATTACGCAAGTTAGGTCATAGATTGGGGATTTTTGAATCGTTGAATGGGTTGATAGTGCGGAAGGATTGTCATTCTGGAAGGATTGACGTTGTGGAAGGATTAACGTTGTCGAAGGAGATTGTTGAGCGAAAAGGGTTGGTGAAGGAGATTGTTGAGCGAAAAGGATTCACTTTGCGGTGATATTTCTTCGAAGCGAAAAGTTTGAAGGTGCGCTTTTTATCACTTTTTGATGTAGTTGCTTTCCCCCATGAAAGTATCTTGCCTTGTTGTCCCCTTAGTATGTTGTGTTGTGGTCCCCCTTGTTGTGTTGTGGTCCCCCTAATAACGTTGGATTTGTAGTTGTCTCATTCTTTAGTGCTTTTCGTTTTTTTGTGCATACTGTCTGTATGGTTTTGGTCCCCAATTAGTGTGAACTGTTTTGTGGTTTTGTCCTCTTAGTGCATAATACTATTTTGTCTATCGTTTTGTTGAATCTGTGGTTGTTGTTTAACTTGTAGTTGATGCATATTGATTTAAGGTTTAAGCCAACATTGAATGTTGTAGGTGAAACAATGAATGCATGTGACTAATTTTGTATGCCTACACGTGTGATAATTGTTAGTTACGTGTCATCTTTACAATGTAGATGCATGTGGAGGTCATTAAATAATTATAGTAGAGACATGTGAAGGTCATTAACCAACTACATGTAGTTTGACACTTTGTTTTATATAGGCATATAATAGTTGACAAATAAAGAAAATATTTGACTCTGATATTGAGGTGGTGTTTCACCATGGGGGTAAGTTTGTGAATGATGGGTCATTTAGATACCATGGAGGTGATACTAGTACATTGATCATTGACATAGACAGATGTAGTTATTTTGAAATCTTGGCCATACTTAAGGAGATGGGATATAGAAATGTTAAGGAGTTGTGGTATTCTTTGGGTGGTCGTGTATTAGAAGATAGGTTGGAATTGTTAAGTGATGACATAGGAGTAATGCATGTCGTGAGCATTGCATTATTCAATGGTAAAGCTCATTTGTTTGTGGTTCACATGGTGTCCTAACCTGATTATATTCATATGTTACAATATGATGTTGGTGAACAAGGTAAGGATGGTGAAGGTGAAGGTGGTGAAGATGGTGAAGTTGAAGAACATGGTGAAGGTGGTGATCATGGTGAAGTTGGAGATGTTGGTGATGATGGTCATGAGACAGAAGATGGTTTAGTTGGAGAAGATGGTGATGATGCTGAAGTTGCTGAAGTTGGTCAAGTTGGAGATGTTGGTCAACATGGTGATGAGATAGAAGATGAAGAAGTTGGAGAAGTTGGTGAAGTTGGAGAAGTTGGTGATGGCCCTGAAGATGCTGAAGTTTGTGAAGTTGGAGATGTTGGTGAACATGGTCATGGTGAGAACGGTGAAGTTTCTACAGTTGGTGAAGGGGATGTTGAGGATGGTGTACGTTATGATGGGGATGTTTAAGATGATGTTGGTGATGGTGAAGGGGATGTCCAGGATGATGTTGGTGATCGTGAAGGGGATGTGTAGGAGGAGTTTGATGCTAGTAGTTGGATAGGGTCTGATGAAGAGGCTTTTGTCAGTGAAGATGAATGTGTGGATGTTGGTGTGCATGAAGATGAACAACTTCAACAGCAAGACTCCGAAGGTAGTGTGTTTGTTGAAATGGGTACAGGAAGTGGATGCACTACCTCAAAGTTGCATGTACAGGCCAAGGGGTTATCTGATATTGAGTTGGGAATCTGATAGTTGTGGCAGTATGTATGCAAGTGATGACTCAGATGATGAAAGTCCCCGAAATGGAGATTTTAGGATCTACTCAGAGCCGGTAACTATGAAAGAATATAAATGGCAACTGGGGACATACTTCCTTGAAAAAAAAATTTCACTAATGCAATTAGAACTTATATGGTGCATAATGGTAGGAAGTTGAAGATTTCTACAAGAGAAGAATTTGTGTTAAATGTTGTGGCTCACAAGGGAAATGTCCATGGTACACATACTGTGTATATAGGAGTAGCCAAAGTACATGGCAACCAAGGAAGATCATAGACAGGCATACATGTAGTAGAGAATTCAACATTGGTTTAGTTACCTCGAAATGGTTAAGTGGCAAATACGAGAAGAGCATGAAAGCAAATCCAGATATAAATCTGAAAAATCTGCACAGTAAGTTTTGTAAAAGATGGAACATTGGTGTGTCTAGGTCTACAACAACTAAGGCAAAAGCAATGGCAACTGCCAACGTTGATGGTTGTTTCAAACAAAAATATGAAAGACAGTATGATTATGCACAAGAATTACTGAGGTCAAACCCTGGGTCAACAATGAAAGTGAATGTGGAACGAAATGAGGATAAGGCTATATTCAAAAGAATGTATGTGTGTTTCAAAGCATGTAAGGACAACTTTGTCTCATGTAGGCCTATTATACATTTGGATGGATGTTTTTTAAAAGGCAAATATGGAGGTGAGCTTTTAACTGCTGTTCGAAGAGATGTTAACAACCAGATGGTACCTTTGGCATATGCTGTTGTTGAAGTAGAGAATAAAGAAACATGGACTTGGTTTTTAGAATGGTTAATTGATGATCTTGGAGGTGGGGGATTATGTTCAAGGTGTACCTTTGTGTCAGATCAACAGAAAGTAAGTAAATGTGTAGCTTTTCATTCATTACATTGTTGACCATGCCAATTTAAGACTCAGTTTCATTCATTACTGTCATAGGGACTTCTGCCAGCTATACAACAACTTTTACCTAGTGTGGACCAACGTTTCTGTGTAAGGCACATTTACGCAAAATTTAGGAAGAAATTTCCTGGCATAAATCTGAGACAATTACTATGGAAGGTAGTAGCAACAGCAAGACACCCCAAAGCCTGGGAATCAGTCATGAAACAAATCAAGGACGTCAACGAAGACACCTTTAAACACTTGATAGCTATTCCACCAAGGCAAGTACATTTGAAGTTTATATATTCTTTCATATTATTTAAATGTTTATTCTTTTCCAAATACTTAAGTTTCACTTGTTCCAGATTTTGGTGTAGGTCAAGATTTTCAGAAAGACCTGCTTGTGACACACTTGTGAATAACATATATGAAGCTTTTAACAACGTCATCTTAGATGGTAGGGGGAAACCAATCATAACAATGTTGGAAGAGAGTAGCTACCTGATGAAGAGGGTGACATCCAATAGAGAGAAGATAAGTAAGTTTCATGGTGCCATTTGTCCCAAAATTCAGAAGAGAATACAAAGAGTTAGAGAAGACACAATATTGGATACCTAAGTAAGTAAACTACACAAGGAGTTACTCATTTTCCATTTTACTGATTCCATTATAAATTTGTTGCTAATATTGATTTTTAATGCTTTGCTAGTTGATCAGGGCTGCAAGTATTTGAGATCTGCCATACATCCAATATTGCTGAAAAGTTTGTGGTTGATGTAGACAAAAGAGATTGTAGCNGATGCATGTGGAGGTCATTAAATAATTATAGTAGAGACATGTGAAGGTCATTAACCAACTACATGTAGTTTGACACTTTGTTTTATATAGGCATATAATAGTTGACAAATAAAGAAAATATTTGACTCTGATATTGAGGTGGTGTTTCACCATGGGGGTAAGTTTGTGAATGATGGGTCATTTAGATACCATGGAGGTGATACTAGTACATTGATCATTGACATAGACAGATGTAGTTATTTTGAAATCTTGGCCATACTTAAGGAGATGGGATATAGAAATGTTAAGGAGTTGTGGTATTCTTTGGGTGGTCGTGTATTAGAAGATAGGTTGGAATTGTTAAGTGATGACATAGGAGTAATGCATGTCGTGAGCATTGCATTATTCAATGGTAAAGCTCATTTGTTTGTGGTTCACATGGTGTCCTAACCTGATTATATTCATATGTTACAATATGATGTTGGTGAACAAGGTAAGGATGGTGAAGGTGAAGGTGGTGAAGATGGTGAAGTTGAAGAACATGGTGAAGGTGGTGATCATGGTGAAGTTGGAGATGTTGGTGATGATGGTCATGAGACAGAAGATGGTTTAGTTGGAGAAGATGGTGATGATGCTGAAGTTGCTGAAGTTGGTCAAGTTGGAGATGTTGGTCAACATGGTGATGAGATAGAAGATGAAGAAGTTGGAGAAGTTGGTGAAGTTGGAGAAGTTGGTGATGGCCCTGAAGATGCTGAAGTTTGTGAAGTTGGAGATGTTGGTGAACATGGTCATGGTGAGAACGGTGAAGTTGCTACAGTTGGTGAAGGGGATGTTGAGGATGGTGTACGTTATGAAGGGGATGTTAAAGATGATGTTGGTGATGGTGAAGGGGATGTCCAGGATGATGTTGGTGATCGTGAAGGGGATGTGTAGGAGGAGTTTGATGCTAGTAGTTGGATAGGGTCTGATGAAGAGGCTTTTGTCAGTGAAGATGAATGTGTGGATGTTGGTGTGCATGAAGATGAACAACTTCAACAGCAAGACTCCGAAGGTAGTGTGTTTGTTGAAATGGGTACAGGAAGTGGATGCACTACCTCAAAGTTGCATGTACAGGCCAAGGGGTTATCTGATATTGAGTTGGGAATCTGATAGTTGTGGCAGTATGTATGCAAGTGATGACTCAGATGATGAAAGTCCCCGAAATGGAGATTTTAGGATCTACTCAGAGCCGGTAACTATGAAAGAATATAAATGGCAACTGGGGACATACTTCCTTGAAAAAAAAATTTCACTAATGCAATTAGAACTTATATGGTGCATAATGGTAGGAAGTTGAAGATTTCTACAAGAGAAGAATTTGTGTTAAATGTTGTGGCTCACAAGGGAAATGTCCATGGTACACATACTGTGTATATAGGAGTAGCCAAAGTACATGGCAACCAAGGAAGATCATAGACAGGCATACATGTAGTAGAGAATTCAACATTGGTTTAGTTACCTCGAAATGGTTAAGTGGCAAATACGAGAAGAGCATGAAAGCAAATCCAGATATAAATCTGAAAAATCTGCACAGTAAGTTTTGTAAAAGATGGAACATTGGTGTGTCTAGGTCTACAACAACTAAGGCAAAAGCAATGGCAACTGCCAACGTTGATGGTTGTTTCAAACAAAAATATGAAAGACAGTATGATTATGCACAAGAATTACTGAGGTCAAACCCTGGGTCAACAATGAAAGTGAATGTGGAACGAAATGAGGATAAGGCTATATTCAAAAGAATGTATGTGTGTTTCAAAGCATGTAAGGACAACTTTGTCTCATGTAGGCCTATTATACATTTGGATGGATGTTTTTTAAAAGGCAAATATGGAGGTGAGCTTTTAACTGCTGTTCGAAGAGATGTTAATAACCAGATGGTACCTTTGGCATATGCTGTTGTTGAAGTAGAGAATAAGGAAACATGGACTTGGTTTTTAGAATGGTTAATTGATGATCTTGGAGGTGGGGGATTATGTTCAAGGTGTACCTTTGTGTCAGATCAACAGAAAGTAAGTAAATGTGTACCTTTTCATTCATTACATTGTTGACCATGCCAATTTAAGACTCAGTTTCATTCATTACTGTCATAGGGACTTCTGCCAGCTATACAACAACTTTTACCTAGTGTGGACCAACGTTTCTGTGTAAGGCACATTTACGCAAAATTTAGGAAGAAATTTCCTGGCATAAATCTGAGACAATTACTATGGAAGGTAGTAGCAACAGCAAGACACCCCAAAGCCTGGGAATCAGTCATGAGACAAATCAAGGACGTCAACGAAGACACCTTTAAACACTTGATAGCTATTCCACCAAGGCAAGTACATTTGAAGTTTATATATTCTTTCATATTATTTAAATGTTTATTTCTTTTCCAAATACTTAAGTTTCACTTGTTCCAGATTTTGGTGTAGGTCAAGATTTTCAGAAAGACCTGCTTGTGACACACTTGTGAATAACATATATGAAGCTTTTAACAGCGTCATCTTAGATGGTAGGGGGAAACCAATCATAACAATGTTGGAAGAGAGTAGCTACCTGATGAAGAGGGTGACATCCAATAGAGAGAAGATAAGTAAGTTTCATGGTGCCATTTGTCCCAAAATTCAGAAGAGAATACAAAGAGTTAGAGAAGACACAATATTGGATACCTAAGTAAGTAAACTACACAAGGAGTTACTCATTTTCCATTTTACTGATTCCATTATAAATTTGTTGCTAATATTGATTTTTAATGCTTTGCTAGTTGATCAGGGCTGCAAGTATTTGAGATCTGCCATACATCCAATATTGCTGAAAAGTTTGTGGTTGATGTAGACAAAAGAGATTGTAGCTGCAGGAAGTGGACTGTAACAAGAATACCTTGTTGTCATGAACTCATAGCCATGAGGTTTTTAAACATCAATCCAGAAGACTACATTCCAAATTGGTTTAGAACCTCTACTTATGAAGAAACTTACATTCCATTAATTTTCCCTGTGAATGGACCTGAACTATGGCAAAAGACTTCATATGCTGATATTTTGCCTCCTCCGAATAAGGTGTTGCCAGGTAGACCAAGAAAAAAAAGAAGACTGGAGAGTTGGGAGAAAAAAAAGGATGATACACAACTTGGACAAACCAGAATCCCAAAGAGATGTGGCATTTGTAGACAACTATGGCATAGAAGAACTAATTTCCCCCAAGCACAAGAAAAACAACACCAGCAAGCAACAACAGACCCCATTGAAGCAACTGAACAAGAACACCAGGAACCTACACTACAACCCACTCAAGCAAATCAACAACAATACCACGAAGCTTTACCACAACCTAGTTAAGCACATCAGATTACTCAAGAACCCCAGACCGATCACACTACAACACCAGTTTAAAAATTGTTGACCTTTTTGTTGTATTTTGGATATGTACTTTCAACTTTAAGTACTGTTGCTTTGACATATTGAGGTCATGTTTCACCTTCAATATTATTTTGGATATGATGTATTTTGCACTTAATAACTTTAACATTTTGGATCATCTATGATGTATTTTGTTAAGTGATGTTTAATCATCAATATCATATCATTTTGGAACATCTGTGATGTATTTTCTTCTGAAAGTATAAAATGCAAGGTTTGACAGGTTGTTAATATTGATGGTTTAACAGCTTGTTAAGTGATGTTGATTAAGTTTCTAGACCTTGTTAATATTGATGGTTTGTAGAGCTTTATGCTGATGAAGTTTTAAACTACTGAATTTAAAAAGTGGGCAAAGTCAAAGGCATAGGCAGCAAGATTGTATTGGCAGCAACAACTTTCATGTTTTATTGATTCTTTCTATTTTGATGGGTAAACAACTACATTAGATATGGTTTTTAGGATTACTTCATTTCATTATTAGTTTACCAGAACAATGAAAAATAAAGTTATGGGACACTTTTAGTGGCTGTTAAAAGTAACTCAAGACAAAGAGAGGGGAATGTAAAATACATCACACATGATCACTACACTTGAAGAATATCACAAATACTCTGATACCAGTAACAACTTTTTCATTAAGTACAATCTCATTACACGCATAATGTCATGACAACCAGAATCTTCATTAAGTAACAAACAAACATTACAATATAACTCCATCAAACACCACTTCAACAAAATTAAAACATAAGACATACAAAGATGATGTTAATGAACCCCATCAAACATATAAACCCCAACAACACCTTCTTCCTTTTCTGACAAACCATAAATGATTTTTCCAAAGAAATAATCCTACTCCTTTGCCATCCAATTGTACTATCCCTTTCATCTATATAATCTTCAGTGCACCATTTGAAGAAATTACATCCTCACACTTCTTCGTTTTGACTCTGCTGTTCAAAACATCCAACCGAAAACACCTCAGGATAAAGCGAACTAATGTACCCCAAAATAAAAACACAACATAGAAAACAAACCTTGTAATTAGGGCACCCCAAAAATGCTTCCCCTCATTCTTAACAGTTTTTGCGACTCTTAATACGGCAAGCTCTCCACAATAGCATATTTGGCTGCCAACCATTCCTCGTGATGATCCACCACGCGAGGACCCCCATGAGCAAGATGAGCATTGATTCATTGACATTGCCTCTAGGAACGACACAATACTGCTTCGTCGAGACCTACAAAACCACCACAATCCCAACCACCCAACTTAGGGCACCCACCTCACAAACAACCAACCTCAGAAACAACGAACTTCAGAAACTGTGTTATAACGAACAACTTAGGGCACCCCACCTCAGCTCACCACCTTCAGATCAGCTCCTTCAGCTAAGCTCATTGGAGATTAATATGTTAGGGAAAATCCCTATGCATTTGCTTTTCCAAATTAAAAGGAAATTTTCATAGCAGCCCAAAGCTAAAAAATGTGCTTTTGCCACGCTGAATAAGTAATTTGCCACATCTTTTAACCTTTAACGCTGTTCCTACCACGGTAACGGATATGACTCAAGTCATACAATTTTCGTTATATGGGGACCGAATGTCTTCATTTTTAAAATCGGAAACTAAACAGAAATTCACCTCTTAACTTGGGGACGAAGTAAGCATTTAAGCCTTTCACATAGGATGAACATTTGTAAGTCTAAAACATAACACGTAGACATTTTATACTGGTTCACTCAACTAAGATACATCTAGTTCTTCTCTAAGATAACTTAGAGGATTCCACTAAATTTTCAATGAAGTACATATGAGTATTCTTACCACTCTTGGTTTCACTAGTCAAACTTTATAAATTATAGTGACTAGTTGATGAATCATTATTTTGTACTATTCACTTAGCTTTCTGTACCGAATTGTATTAGTGAACTGTGTTTAATTCTCCATTATTGTCTCATTTTTACTATTTGGGCTTAATTTGACTATTAATTCTTATTTTAATTAATTTGGGCCTAATTATTCCAATTATTATTTGCAGGACAATTTTGGAATCATATTTTGGGACAATAAGACTCTGGCCACGTCAACATTATAGTTTAATTTCGTTTTGAATTCGTTTGTAATGTAATTGGGTCAAACTTTTTGACTTTCGACCCATTTTTGGTCAAATTTAGGAGAAGCTCATTAGGAGGGCATTTTCGTCTTTTGGGGTTATTAAACCCTTGAATCAAATTTTAGAAACTTTCCTCTCCCTCATTTTTTGTTTTCTTTGAGGTTTTTCCAGCCCTTGGGACGTTTTCCACCCCTCCTTTTTGGGGTTTAGGTTTGCTTTCAATTGCCTCTATATATATTGAATCATTTACATTTTTAATGGCAATTTCATTTTCGTTTCTTGCTTCCAATTTGGTTTCAAGCTTTGTGTTTTCATTTCTTTTTGGTGCTACTCTTACGTTTATGTGCTCTAATTCGATTTTGTTTGCTGTTTGAATTTCTTTTTAATGGTAGCTTAAGTGTGCTTGGTTGGCCATTAGTGAAATTGCATCATTTCCATGAGATTTCTGCACTTTGATTGTCACTCCATTGCTCTTGGCTCGCTCAATATTGAATTTGTTTGTGCACTTGCAATTGGGTATACGCTTAGTTGCTTGATTGATGTTTAATCTTCGCTTAGTTGATGAAACTGTGTGGTGCAGAATTGATTGAATGTGAACATTGTGTTTGCTTAATTCGCTTTTATGAAAACATGGTTAGCCTTTGCTTAGTTGGTTAATTNTGCTTTGCTAGTTGATCAGGGCTGCAAGTATTTGAGATCTGCCATACATCCAATATTGCTGAAAAGTTTGTGGTTGATGTAGACAAAAGAGATTGTAGCTGCAGGAAGTGGACTGTAACAAGAATACCTTGTTGTCATGAACTCATAGCCATGAGGTTTTTAAACATCAATCCAGAAGACTACATTCCAAATTGGTTTAGAACCTCTACTTATGAAGAAACTTACATTCCATTAATTTTCCCTGTGAATGGACCTGAACTATGGCAAAAGACTTCATATGCTGATATTTTGCCTCCTCCGAATAAGGTGTTGCCAGGTAGACCAAGAAAAAAAAGAAGACTGGAGAGTTGGGAGAAAAAAATGGATGATACACAACTTGGACAAACCAGAATCCCAAAGAGTTGTGGCATTTGTAGACAACTATGGCATAGAAGAACTAATTTCTCCCAAGCACAAGAAAAACAACACCAGCAAGCAACAACAGACCCCATTGAAGCAACTGAACAAGAACACCAGGAACCTACACTACAACCCACTCAAGCAAATCAACAACAATACCACGAAGCTTTACCACAACCTAGTTAAGCACTTCAGATTACTCAAGAACCCCAGACCGATCACACTACAACACCAGTTTAAAAATTGTTGACCTTTTTGTTGTATTTTGGATATGTACTTTCAACTTTAAGTACTGTTGCTTTGACATATTGAGGTCATGTTTCACCTTCAATATTATTTTGGATATGATGTATTTTGCACTTAATAACTTTAACATTTTGGATCATCTATGATGTATTTTGTTAAGTGATGTTTAATCATCAATATCATATCATTTTGGAACATCTGTGATGTATTTTCTTCTGAAAGTATAAAATGCAAGGTTTGACAGGTTGTTAATATTGATGGTTTAACAGCTTGTTAAGTGATGTTGATTAAGTTTCTAGACCTTGTTAATATTGATGGTTTGTAGAGCTTTATGCTGATGAAGTTTTAAACTACTGAATTTAAAAAGTGGGCAAAGTCAAAGGCATAGGCAGCAAGATTGTATTGGCAGCAACAACTTTCATGTTTTATTGATTCTTTCTATTTTGATGGGTAAACAACTACATTAGATATGGTTTTTAGGATTACTTCATTTCATTATTAGTTTACCAGAACAATGAAAAATAAAGTTATGGGACACTTTTAGTGGCTGTTAAAAGTAACTCAAGACAAAGAGAGGGGAATGTAAAAT